GGTCGTGATATTAATGAATTTGAGCTAATTCCAGAAATCATAAAAGTTTCTGCAATGGCTAAAGATGTACTTTCCGAAAGAAATATAATTGTTAGTGAAAAAGATTTGCTATTACAAAGGCAATTAAATAGAGGCCAACAAATAGCCTACAATACAATTCTGAATAGAGTTTTTTCCAATAAACTAGGGGCTTTCTTTATTGATGGCCTAGGTGGAACCGGTAAACCTTTTTTGTATCGTGTGTTGCTAGCTACTGTGAGACATTGAGGATTTGTTGCTTTAGCAACAACAAGTTCCGGTGTTGCAACCTTGCTTCTTCCAGGAGGTCGAACAACACATTCCCATTTTAAATTGCCTATAGAAATTGATGGAAATTTTAGTTGCAATATAAGTAAACAAAGTTCATTAGCGTCTTTAATTCGAGATACAAAATTAATAGTATGAGATGAAATTTCTGTTAGCAATATGTGTTTAAAAAACCAGAATTACTGATTTTAATAAACTTTGCAGAAACACGAAGTAGCCAAAGTTTAATAAACCAGTAAGAATAGATGAACATAAATTAATTGACAAAACTAAAATCTGTAAAAACGTACCACAATCTGGAAAAACAGAATCAGAAGAAGATCAAGCCTACTGAATGCACAGTGTCCCCTTAAGGAAATTATTCCCCTCTAGTATCCGAGGTTTGATTTGGAATATGTCCTCCCAGGATAGAATGATCTCAATCACCAGTGTATTGATACCCAAAACTCTGGTGTCAGCGAACCACTCAACAATTAATTAAATAATTAATTAAATAATTAATTAAATAATTAATTAAATAATTAATTAAATAATTAATTAAATAATTAATTAAATAATTAATTAAATAATTAATTAAATAATTAATTAAATAATTAATTAAATAATTAATTAAATAATTAATTAAATAATTAATTAAATAATTAATTAAATAATTAATTAAATAATTAATTAAATAATTAATTAAATAATTAATTAAATAATTAATTAAATAATTAATTAAATAATTAATTAAAATAATTAAAACAAAATTTGTCCAAAATATAATCTCTCGATCGATCATTTTCCAAAGCCAAAGCCAAAGACAAAGCCGAGCCGAGCGAGCGACGACGACGACGGCGCGAGGGGGGGTCCCTCTTTCCAACCCTTTTTAACAATTAATAGGAGTGTTTCTATATTTAAACTCTCCTATTTTTCTTTCCACCACTGATGAGGGACAAATGCCTTTTCAATAAAGCATAAGAGGACTTTTCCAGTTCTCAACTCTTCAAGTTCCCAACTTTTCAAGTTCCTCTCTTTTTTCATCTTCCCTCCATTTCCCATTACTCTTGCTACATACCCAACAATTTCAATGGCAAAAAAGGAAATGATTGAGGCACTAGACTTGCTTCTCAAAGATTTGATGGAAACAAATATTTTATTTGGTGAAAAAGTTGTTGTATTTAGTGGCGATTTTAGGCAAACTCTGCCTGTTGTTCGTGGTGGTAAAAGAGAAGATTTTGTTTCTGTAAGCTTACTTTGCTCTAAAATTTGGAATGAACTTGTAAAACTACAATTGTCCGAAAATATGCGAGCAAAAATAGATCCTGCCTTCTGCCAATATTTGATGAGAATTGGCCATGGAAAAGAAAAACTAAATAGCCAGGGAAAAATTGAAATTCCGCGTTCTTTTATTATTCCTTTTACTGATGAAAAAGATTCCTTAAATAGTTTATTCAAAGTTGTTTATCCCAATCTATATACATCTGCTTCAAATATTTCTTTCATTACTTCCCGCACTATTCTAACAACCAAAGTGAATATGAAAACTTTATGCATACTTTAAACCCTCCAGGATTGCCTCCTTACAAATTATGTTTAAAAAAACATTGTCCAATTATATTACTAAGAAATCTAAATCCTTCGGTGGGTTTGTGTAATGGAACACGATTAACATGCAATGACTTTAAATCACATATTATCAGTGCCACAATTTCTAATGGTGATTTCAAAGATACTCATGTATTTATTCCTATAATACCACTATTAACATCACAGGATGAAAAGATACCCTTTCAGTTTAAGAGAACACAATTTCCAATATGCTTATGCTACGCTATGACTATTAACAAAGCTCAAGGTCAAACACTAGATTTTGTTGGAATTTATCTGAGAGAACCTGTTTTTTCTCATGGACAACTATATGTTGCATTATCAAGAGCTAAAAGTTCTAAGTGTGTTAAAGTATTAATATGACCGCCAACAGTTGAGGATAAAAATGATTGTTGTACACATAATATAGTTTATGACGAAATTATTGCAAAAGCTTTTCTCTAAATTCATACTGCTGCAATTTACGGTAAAAAACTCCCCTTATTTTCTTTGACAATTTTACCTTTCAATCATTTTATATTATGTTATGCAACTCTGTTACTATCTATATTCTATTTGCTCATATTGTTATTATGCACTAACAACATCACAATACTATAATTGCAGATCATCTCATGGCAAAAAGATTAACCATAAATGCCGTTACCAGCGAAACTAAAGAATGGACAGTTAAGGTGCAAGTCATTGATAAGGGCCGACCTAGAGATAACCTGCAAAAAACCAATAAGTATCAACTCATGATTCTTCAAGATGAAGAGGTACGACATTGCTTTCATCACATCCACTTACATTTTCCTTAATCTTCTTTATCTACAACTCAATCCTCACTTAAATTAGCTTCGCAGTTACATTTATCCATGCCTAAGACATTTGTCATTCTCCATTGGTCTTCTCATGCTCTTCTTTTATAGATCTGTTATTTCCTATTTAGCTCACTCACTTTTTCATGAGTAAAGCAAACATAAGCTCTATTAGTTGTCAAAAATCATTGTCTGCAGACAAAATGAAAATACAATTCAAGTAGAATCCTGTCATTATTCCTGCAGACAATACTAACAGTCCTTCTGCTCTTAGTTATCTCTTCTGTCATTTTCATTTATTGCTGCAGATTCTCAGCAAAATTCACCTAATTTTGAATGATTTACCTCTGTTCCCCAAGTAATTTAAATGGTATTTACGTAGAAACCAACAATTGGTTTGTATAGCTTACCCATTTATGTAGTATTTTTGCTCAATAGTGTTAGCCTCAATGAATATTATGTTTGTTCACACTTATTTGTACTTGCAAACAAATAAAGTTCAATAATAGTGTTGTGATGATTAATCATCAGAATACAGCAATAGTCCCTTTCTTTATCTGCAACAATTCGGCCTGCTACCGCCCCTTCCCAGAAATTTTATTATGTGTCATACATTCACTATCTTCAGACGACATTTGTCCAATGTGTAGCATGTCCCTTTTATGCATCTTTAAGCTATATTCATTGTTGCGTACATGCATTTTGAAGTTAAAACTTGAAAATTTAAATTTTGGAAATAACCATGCTTTATACTTGGAAAAAATTCAACTTGTGCAACTAAAAAAAAACCTTACAAATTTTAAATTAAACACAATTTTGCTCGCCACAAAATAATATAATATGTGAGATTTAACTGACTCAATTATATTTTCTATTTTCCATAGGAAACACAAGTCCAAGGAATTATGTATGGCAACGATATAAAGAGTTATGCTGAATTGTTTATTCCATACCACACCTATTTGATATTAGTTGCAAGTGTTACCGAATCAAACCATGCATATGGAATTCCAATCAACACTTTCCTTTGGACAATTGACAAAGGCACTCTCATTGAACCAATAGAAGAAGTTGACCCACCAGAAGGTTCACTGCCACCACCAACACGCCTTACTCTTACAATGTTCGACATCTTCCACCATCAACCTGAAGGATTAGAATTTGGTATTACAAAATTCAACAACTTATACTTCTCATTAACTATAATTCTCTAACAACCTAAACTCTTTTATAATTTATACACTACTTTTCTCCAAGATGTCCTTGCCATTGTGGTTAACGTCGCCTTACCAACATGTGCAGCTAATGGATCTAGAATTCAAGAATTAATTATAATGGATAATTAGTAAGTATACATTTATTATCATTTTCAGTTTTTCTGTTCTTCTTTTGAAACTTTTATAACAAATTAACTGCCTTACAAATTGATCCTGACGGCTCTTCTAAAAGAAACACCACTCTTAATCAAACCTTTTTACATTTGAATGAACAATACAGAAGATAAGCTTGAATGAAAGACTACTTTGAATTCTCCATGTCCTGACATCTCCAACTGTAATGGCATCAACTTTTAATATATTTTTTCCCCTCTATTGTAAGATGAAGAGTAGCTCTCTTCTCTTTCTATTAGAGCACCACGACAAGTTTTTCTGCCTTTTTCCTTTTTATTCTCCACACTTCTCAGGCATCAAACTGTTAATTTAAGTTAAATTCATTAACTAAGTTGTTGAAAAAAAACTAATCTTTAGGCTGAAAAAAATTGATTTGAGTTGCATTTGTAAAGTAATTGTTGGGAAAAAAAACAATCTTCAGGCTTAAAAAACTATTTGAATTACATTTCTAAAGTAACTATTTGAAAAAAACTTAACTTTAGGTTGATTGCATACAAAATGATCTCTCTGCCAGCTCATATATAAGTTTGCTCCTTAGCTAAATAGATAAAAACTGTCTTTCTTTCGGTTAATGTCATTTATGAGCTCTTTCATTTTGCACTATGGTTGTATTATGGTTACGTTCTCCCAATTCTCCTGCAATACAACACCTGCAATCTTTTTTTATTTTTTTTCCCCAGGAAGAAACCCAAAAAGCTTACACTTTGGGAAAGCTTCATTGATCATGTTGGAATAAATATTGCAGAACAACTTCATCAATATCCAATCATCCTCGCTAGAAAAATTGCAAAATCGAAATCATATGCAGGTAAACGCACACACTAATATCATATTCTTACAAATATCAAAGCGCTTAACTTACATTCAACCATTCCAATATACAGGATTAACAAGCAGGTTCCCACAACAATTCAAATCAATCCTCCATACCCACAGGTTGCTGCACTCAGAAAATGGTATTTGCTTCCACAAAAATTAACTACCAAGAAATACATGTGCATATCCATAAACTGACATTTACTTGTTTAAATTTATATTCCTTGGGCCACATCAAATGAACAATTGCTGATCGCATACACCAAAAAGAGTATAACTTCAACAGGTTCTCTTCAGCTTATTCCTTTTGAAGATGAGATCATATCAATTGCCAATGCACATCAACATCTTCCGGTAAGAACAAATGCAAATTCCACAGATCATCATGTTGTATGTTTCTTCACACATTCCCACAATCTTCCAGGACAGATAGTTTTCGTACAAAGTTGAATTTTCACTATTGGATGAAAATCAACAATTCTATATTTTAGCCTGTTCAACATGCAAACAAATCTTTACTAGGCTTCATTCACGGAGGAGATTCTATTGTGCAACTTGCCGCTGTTCCGCAAATCTTATTCCAAGGTACAACAATCACTAAGGTATCTTTAACAAAACTTCAAACAGTGCATGTTCAATAAAAAAAAAACATAATTTTCTCTTATTATATCCCCGTTTATTATCATGACTAACCTGCAGACAAATGTCATCTATTTCTAAACCATTGAATTCTATTTTTCACTTACTATAGAAGTTTATCTGCACTCTAAATTCCTCTTTTTGCCTTTCCACCTAAATGCATTTTTATATGCTTTACTTGCCCACTATCAGCTTTAAATCATCCTCTTATCTACTCTTACAACAGATGCCAATCTGACATCACCATCACAAACAACAGTGGTTCAGCAACATCACTAATCGTAGACCAAGCTGCTGAAACAATGTTGCATCTCACTTCAGAAGAGATCTATGACATTCGCTGCACAAAGGTATATATTATGGCTAATTAAAATAAATACAATAAAAATGCCTATTGTTAACTAATCTTTCCTCATCCATCAAAATTCAAACGCCTCCCCTAGAAACAAATGTTGCCTCTTGCAAATGTGACAAGACAATTAACTGGAAAGACATTCACCATTCAAGTGAAAAAGTCATTTGCTAAAACTATGGATGGAACTCCTACAAAATTAATTATCTTGTCGTATGCGGAAAAAGAAAACATCATCAGTGCACCATCATCACCAGCTCCAATGGACACTGGAAGCAGCAAAAGGAAAACTGAAAAAGACAAGGAAGAAGCCACTTCCCATCGCAGGCATGCTCCAGAGCCCAAAACTCCCCCTCCAAAACACTATAGCAAGGTATATAAACTTCTGCATAAAACTATGTCATTTTACCTTTTCAGAACTGCTACTTCCTACTTTTAAAACTTGAACTAACAGGTGTATTTTAATTATTTTATCAGTGAAAAACCATGCCACCTATGTTTTGCAATATAGTTGAAGCCATTTTCTATCACTGCAGCAAGCATATCCATAACAGATCGCTTTCCTTTTGCCTATGTAAATAAAATGTACATACCTATATTATAGAACTTGGCTCCAACACCTAATATATAATTTTGGTTGTGCCACAGTTGTTATATACTTAATATGCCATCTTCATATATGTACCTCACTTGAAATGTTGGGCCCATGCTGGCACGGGCCACCCACTTCTAGTCTAATTAAGAAGTGACAGTTGTCAAATTAATTAATTTTGACTTGCTTATTTGCCTCACACTTGCCAATAGGAAAGTGAATACACTTGTTATGCCACATCACCATCTAAGGGTGTCAATATCTCTATTTAAAATACTTCAAGGGGGTAATAGGACCCCATGAAGTATTGACGTGTAATTGAGAATCAGACAATATGTTGATGGGGCATCTGGCTATTTTTTCCACATTAAGGGTGTGTTTGGTATACATTTCCAATTTTCTCATGTTTGGTTGGCTTTAAATGTTTGGAAAATGTTTTTAAAATCAACCATTTTCCTCAAATTTAAGGAAAATATTTTTCCAAATCTCTACTTCATCCTTTAATTTTTTTTCTTACCCTACCCATATCCCGTACTCCACCCAACCGATTCCCATTAATTTTATTTAAAGAAAAAATTATTTTTGGGAAATATTTCAAATTTAAAAAATAATAATAATTTACGCCACCCCCCTCCACACAGGCCACCTCCGTCAATATTTAAAAAAAAATTATTTTTGAAAAATATTTTAAATTTATTTTTTTTCTTTTTTACACCACCCCCTACCCCTATGCCCTTAACCCCCCTCCACCCCCCACGTAGGCCATTCCCATCAAAAAAAATTTTAAGAAAAAATTGTTTTTAGAAATATTTCAAATTTAAAACTTTTTCACTTTTAACGCCAACTCCACCCCTATCCCCCTCCCCCATGGGACCCCGTCAATTTTTTTAAAATAATTGTTTTTGAAAAAAAATTTCGTGGGTTGAAAGTCTGGGTCAGGTCCTGGGTCAAATCTCAGGATCGGATTTTGGAACGATCATCCGGGTCTTGTCCTAGTTTGAGTATCAAGGTCGGGTCCTAGATAAATTATCGGGGTTAATTTTCGGATCATAAATTATTTTTCTGAAGAGTATTTTTTAGTCTCAAGCCAAAAATAAAAGATATTTTCTGAAAAATATTTTTCATTCACTAATCAAACATTTAAAATATATTTTCTAGAAAATATTTTCTACTCACCAACCAAACATGAGAAAACAAGTTAGAAATCCACTTGTTTTCCAAGAAAACATTTTCCATGAAAAGCATTTTCCTTCACACCAAACACACCCTAGATGTAGGAAATTTCACAAATAGAAAAGGGTCAAAAATACCCCTCAACTTTAGTTTATTAGTTGATTATACCCCTACCATTAAAACAAAGTTATTTATACCCTTGCCGTTATTAGTTTCACCATTTATACCCCTCAATTAACGGAAAGCCCCAAATCAAACAAAATTAACCCGATTTCTTAAAAATGACCCATTCTCCATTTTAAACCCATGCCCGACCCATCTATCTATCTTAAACCCAAAATAATTTAACCCATTTTCTATACCCATTCTCAAAAAAAATAATCATTTGGAGCTACTGTCATGTAATTCTCCAATTGTGTTTCCCCAATTCTGTCATGATACTTCATTTGTTCTTCATTTGAACTTTATTTTTTCTTTATCAACAATGCAGCAACCAAGAAATAGTAGAAAATAAAAACGAAAACAACTAGTCAATAAATTTTATGAGAAAAAATAAAATTTTGCCGGAGCAATAAATTTGTTGATCGGATTTAACATCAACAGGGAAGAGAGGGAGATGTGGCGTGACTTCAAAGACATTGCTCCGGCAGCACGTAAAACACAAAAACCGATCAGATCTGAGCACTTTTAGATGACTATGATGACTCTATTAATGGAGGAAAGAGAAAAAAGAGAGCGGCATAGTGGTCGGCCATGGCCATTCCGAAGCTAACCATCGTCGCCGAAGCTCGAAGCAGACAGTTGGAGAGAATCAAAGACATGAATTTTACCCAAATAATTACAACAAAAAAATTAAACCTAAAAGAAAATTCACAACCCCCATCCCCTGTATTGTCTTCCCCAAAGACCCTGCCCATTTGCAGAAACATCTGCATACCCCATTCTCCCGTCTAATTTTCTTTTCCAAACTCTCCGATTCCTTTTAATGCACACACCTACACACTATTTCTTTTTCCATCATTTTAGTGTAAGTATCTTTATTCACTATTGTAAGAATTTAACTTTGTAAGGAAAATTGGTGAGGTAGGTATATGTGCTTCTCACAAAGATGACTGCTTTTTGCAGTCATGAGAAGAGGCAGTGATGATCTTCGCTTTTTGCTGGAATTTGGAGAAAAAAAAATTAAAAGGAAGAATAAAAAAACCCGTAGAAATGGTGGCTAAAGGGTAAGGAAAATGGGTTAAATTATTTTGGATTTAAGATAGATTGATGGGTCGGACATGGGTTTAAAATGGGGTATGAGTCATTTTTTAAGAAATCGGGTCAATTTTGTTTGATTTGGGGCTTTCCGTCAATTGAGGGGTATAAATGGTGAAATTAGTAACGGTGAGGGTATAAATAACTTTGTTTTAACGGCAGGGATATAGTCAACTAATAAACTAAAGTTGAGGGGTATTTTTGACCCTTTTCCCTTAAATTTAATAAGCCTCCTTAGCTACAATTTGCCTAATTACGCTCCATGACTATAGTTTTGTTTGCTATGGGTATTTCCATTAGTATAATTCGCTTGTTAATATACAAACATGATAAGTCCGTTTGTAGAATTTGCTTGCCAATAATACAAATTAAATAGGGTAAGTATATACAAATTATGTATTTATACATTTAGAAACTTTTCGGAACTTATACAAATCAAATGTATCAACAAGATAATTATATACAAGATAGGGTAAGCATATACAAATTCTGAATTTATACAATTATGAGCTGAATTATACAATTTCTGGACATGGCAGCATTAATATAGTTATATGTTAGTGGCGAAAAGTAATTCCTTCAAACTACAACTATGTTAAATAATTAACTAGTATATGTTTGCTTAGTCGTACAATTTTTCCTTTTCTAAATATATATGGAATAAAAAATTATTCTCAAAGACAAGGATAAAGTTGATGTCGTTTTTACTACAGCAATCAATAGGAATATTGAAGCACTATCATTAATTAATAAGCACTAATGGTTGTTTACCTACCATTAATTAATAGATAAATACACATTCCAGTCTGTTTGTGCCATTTGCCAACTCGAATTATTGTTTAATCTCCTCACCCATCTCTCTGTACTCTAGACAACACCTTGTCCCATATAGAATTTTGATCTACCACCAATCAGTTAATAATCGATCGATCGATCTATCCCTGAGCTATTGAGGAATAATAGGAGCTTCGATAAGTTAAGATTGAGGTGAGTTCTATTGATTTATAATTTATTTTCATACTTCAAGGAAATCTTTATCCTCTGAATCTATATACTCTCCCATCCCAATTTAAGTTTCTTAGTTTGACTTGGCACATAGTATAAGGAATGATATAAGACTTTTAAATCTTGTGATCTTAAATTAAAAATGTGTTTAATCCTTTAAATCTTGTGATCATAAACTTGTCATATAAAATGTTGGAATTGAGAACTTACTAAATATATAGAAAGCGACACTCACTCTTGTTGGATATATGTACACAAGTTCATCCACCTCTTTTTGAAGTACCAAGTCATAAGAATGAAGCTAACAAATTTTTTTCCAATCCACCAAGTCTCCTACCGGCAAATAAACAAAAGAAGGAATTAATGAAAAAGGAGAAATAAATTAACAAATTATTGTTGATTGAAGTAATTTTATTGAACCCACTTGTGTAAAATTCTAGGTCCGCCACCAGAGACGGAGCCAGTATTAGGAGTGCAAAACATGCTTCCTTTCTAGGTCCACCGCCAGAGACGGAGCCAGGATTAGGAGTGCAAAACATGCTTCCTTTCTAGGTCCGCCACCAGAGGCGGAGCTAGGATGAGGAGTGCAAAACATGCTCCCTTTGTAGTGTGATAGGAAGTTCCACCACCCCTTCCTTACCACTGAGCTATTAATCAATTTTGTTAGGGGTTCACAAGTTAATATACATAGATATTTATTTAATTTTCTAACACAAATACATGATCTACAGAAAAGCTAGTGAGTTCGTCCAAACCCACCAACCCCCACCTAGCTCCGCCTCTGTTCGCCACTGAGTAGACTTGTACTGGTATATAAAACTTTTAGCTTGTATATATACTAGTATCTGTTTTGCAACAAGCTCTCTATGTACATGTATGCTTTTAAATTGCTTCCAATTCCTAGCCATCCATGTGCGATAAATTACCTCCAGAATAGTTGTGACCAGCTGCTTCTTTACATCCAACTCAATTTTGAAATTCTAACAATATTAGTAAAAATAGAATAAAAATGTTGTTCTTAATATTCTAAGAGTTGGTGAAATTTCAGGAATTTTCTACATAAGATCATGAATCACAAAGACATCGAATATACGTTTGATCACTTAAGAAGGATCATGAGTGGAGGCAATCTGAACAGCGTCAAGATTGATCAAATCGAGACACTTGAAATGGAGCTAAGATATTTCACAACTTTTCTCAAATACCATCATGTTCTTTTGCCTGATTCTTTGGTCAAAATCACAAAGAAGGCCCAATTGATTGCGGAAATGCTTCAGTCAATTCTTGGTGGAATTCCAAATGAATATCAAATTAAACTTAATATCAAAAGGCTAGTATCACAGTTGCGGGAACTCACTGAAGGTAATACTAGTTTAAGATACAATGATGAGTTTAATGATTCGTACCTATTGGAATATATGGATTGCCTCGACAAAAATCTAAATGATGTACCAAAGTGCGTGGATAGGTCTGATCTTTCTTTCAAGGAAGAAAAACTAATCCTTCAGAAAAATCGATTTTCAAAGCAAGTGAAAATCCTTCAAAAGAAAATGAGATTCTTGAGATACTTATATGCCACTGAGATAAGAGGTTATATTGACCATGAGAAGCTGGAATGTTTGGAGATTCTAATTCAGTTCATGGCTAACGATGTGGCACAGTTCTGTCTTGCTGTTTGGGTTAACGACGATGATGATTTTGCTTCAGCTGAGGTTGATGATTATCTCGGTCCAGTTGAGGATGAAGATGAAATAGATGATATCTCGAGTAGACCTCCTTATCTGTTTTGCTTGATTGCACTAGTGGAGCTGGAAATGAAGAAGATTTTTCATGGTGAACTAAAGGCTTCAAAGTTTACTCAATCAATAAATTTCAAGGACAAGAAATTACCAAAAGAATTTTCTAAACATCTCTACAATCTGCTGATGTATCTCAGAAACAAAAGGATGGGGAACTTTTGTAATAATGTCTATGCTCGAAATATTGATGTGGAGATAGAGTTCTTATTGGTTCTTCTTTCTGATGTACCAAATAGGTTTATTGATGGTAAGAGGTTGAAAGAGATCTTGGAAAAGGCGGGAGTTCTTGTGGGTGATGTTCTATGTGTAATTCAAAAGATTATTCCCAGCTCTATAATCAAAGATGACAGTAGCAAGATAAATCTTTTCACGATACAGGTATTGGAGAAAACTGAAAATCTGAAGGCACAAGTGGAGAGGTACTACACATCCTTCAAATTCATTCCATCTCAGTTTCCCGCTGTTGGTGGATTGAGCTTTCTGGTCTCTCTTGTGGGAAAAATGAATGAGATGTTGAAACTTGAATCAGGTTTAAATTTCATGATAAAACCTCATATTGTTATTTTAGAGAGAGAGCTCTCATATCTAAATTCCACTTTCAGAGATGTTGAGAAGGTGCATCATGAACATGAAGATATTCTGAGAGCTACTATCAATTTGGCATATGAAGCTGAAGTTGCCATTGATTCTATTCTTGTTCAATATAATGGTCTTTGGCATATTTTTTGCTCACTTCCTTCAATCATAAAAGAGATCAAGCATATTAGTGTGAAGGTGACCGAGATGAGGCTTAAGAACATTCCTCTTAAACCCTTCTCTATGGTTGAGCCATCTAAGCATATACCAGATCAACATCATAATAGTTTTATGAATGATGAGGATATAGTGGGTTTTGGGATAGTAGCAGAAAAAATGATTCATTCTCTTACTCGAGGGACAAATGAGCTAGATGTCATACCAATTGTGGGAATGGGTGGCCAAGGTAAAACAACTTGTGCTAGATTGTTGTATAATAATGAAATCATTGTTTCTAATTTTGATGTGCGAGCATGGTGCATCATTTCCCAAACATATAATCGGAAAGAGCTATTACAAGATATTTTCAGTCAAGTTACTGGTTTCAAGGTCAAGGTAGATGAGGTTGGCGAACTTGCTGACATGTTGCGGAAAAGATTATTGGGAAAGAGATATTTCATTGTCTTGGATGATATGTGGGATGGTATGGCATGGGATGACTTAAGATTATCTCTCCCAGATGGTGAGAATAGAAGTAGAATAGTAGTGACAACTCGTCTTGAGAAAGTAGGTGAGTATGTCAAGCACCATACTAATCCTTATTTCCTTCCATTTCTCACACTAAAAGAGAGTTGGGAATTGTTGCAAAAAAAGGTGTTTCAAAAGAAATCTTGCCCGTCTGAACTGTACGATGTGAGTCTAGAAGTTGCAAGAAGATGCAAAGGATTGCCCCTAGTGGTCATCTTGGTAGCTGGAATAATAAAAAAGAAGATGGAAGAATCGTGGTGGAATGAGGTTAAAGATGCTCTATTTTCCTATCTTGGTGAGTCTGAAGAGTATAGTCGGGAGACTATGCATTTAAGTTATGATAACTTACCCGATTATTTAAAGCCTTGCCTTCTTTACATGGGGATGTTTCCAGAGGACCACAACATTTCAGCATCTAAATTGACAAATTTATGGATTGCGGAAGGTTTCGTGCAAAACGTTGAATCTGGAAGATTGGAGGAAGCAGCCGAAGGTTACTTGATGGATCTCATTAGCAGTAACGTGGTAATGGTTTCAAAGAGAGGAAGATATAACGGTAAAGTCAAATACTGCCAGGTTCATGATATAGTACTTCACTTCTGCTTGGAGAGGAGTAAAGAAGAAAAGTTTATGTTGGCTGTGAAGGGGAATTATAGCAACTTCAAACTTTCTGATTGGAAGGAAAGTCGAGTGAGTTTCAGTTTCAGTAATGAGCTTTCTGAGATTGCATCCAAAACACGGAAGCCCTTCCATCAACACTTGAGGTCACTAAGAATGACACTAATTGAAGGTGAAGTTTCTAATTGGAATTCATTCAGCCAGTTTAGTAAATTGAGACTTCTTAAGGTTTTGAATTTGAGTTCCCATATAGTGGGTCGTTTGTCGTCAGCTACATTGCAACCACTAATTCACCTCAAGTACTTAGCAGTTTGTGCAAGGAAATTCGATTTTCATCCCGAATCACATCTTCCCCATATAGAAACCTTAATTGTGCTGTGTCCATTCAGGCATACAGTGTTACCACCGATTTTTTGGAAAATGAAAACATTAAGGCATGTTGAGATTAATGATGCTGTTTTTGATTTGAAAAACAACAAGAAGTGGATCTCTGAAGAATCCTCTAAATTGGAAAATTTGAGGATATTAAAGCAAGTTGCAATTAAAATTGGTGGTGATGATAATGTCGATGTATTATTACGGAGGTGTCCTAATCTTCAAGAACTTGAGATTGGTATCTTGTGCGATGAAGATTCTGTAGAGATTTGTCAATTGGAAAGTCTTACCCAGCTTCAAATACTTCGCCTTTCCATTGACTCGTTCCAGTTAAATGTATCCAAGTTACACTTGCCTTCAAATTTAAAAAAGTTAGTACTATGGGGGGCTCGTATAGAAAACATAGTTTCTACCATTGGGAGACTACCAAGTCTGGAGTATCTCCAATTAGTGCTTCCAACTTTTATTCAATTAAAAGAGTGGTGTCTTGGAGATGTCACGTTCCATAAACTTAAGTTGCTGAAATTGGAGTACTTAAACATCTCAAGATGGGATGCCTCTGAGGAATCTTTTCCCCTGCTTGAAAGGCTTGTTATAAAAAAGTGTCACGAGCTCGAGGAGATCCCACTTGGCTTTGCAGATATTCAAACACTGAAACAGATTAAGTTGGTTCAGTGCAAGAACAAATCTCTGGAGGCTTCAGCTTTGAAAATTAAGGAAGAAGCCGAAGCTATTGGAGGAAGCGACATAATTGACCTCATAGTGAAAGTAAGTGGAAACAAACTCTTATGTGAATCATTTGAGGTACCTAGCTATAGGCATCTAATGTGAAAATAATGTTTTTCATACAGGATTTTTTCTAGAGCTATTTATCGCAGCTATGAGCCATGTTCTTGTCACAACTACATGGTATTGTTTTCAGAAATTAATTTCTTATTTTGTTCATTTTTTATTAGATTATTTCTTTCTGTTAATAGTTCTGTGTTGGTCATGGATGTTTTAAATTTGACAATTGCTTAGAGTCTTCGACGACTGCAGAAAAAGCAGAGGCAGAGTGCATAGAGTTCATTCATCTTGCACCTTTGATGCAGCATAAAGCATGAGAAAAGTAGTAACATTGAGTTACTTGGTTTCCCTCTCAAGGAACTTACTCTTTACAACGGCCTTCTTAAGGTCACAAAAGTAGTCAAAATTTCGACAAAGTACAACTTTGTGACTCTGTTAAACAGAATCAGAGAAATATTAACATCTAATGAGTATAAGTAGTTCTTTAATTGTGCATCCGAATATAATAAGCCAATAAATTTGGCTTTTCGCAGCAACGACAACTTAGATGAATTTGACTTTGCAAGGTTTTCTTAGAAGGAATAAGTTACACAAGTATTTCCACTTTTGCAAGAAGTGTTTTGACAAGGGTTTCTCTCTTAGGGTGTGTTTGGTACGAAGGAAAACATTTTCCGGAAAATGTTTTCCAATTTTCTCATGTTTGGTTGGATTAAACATATCTGCAATTGGAGCAGCAGGGTTTTGCTGGGGTGGTAAGTTGTTCAACTTTCTCTTTTAAGTATTATTCTTCCCTTACCCGCCTAGGATGTATAGAGTCAATTTCTTGTAGTTGTCTGACCTTGTGTTTTCTTAACAGCAAAGGTGGTTGTTCAGCTAGCTATGTCTGAGAACATTCAAGCTGCAGTGCTATTGCACCTGTCGTTTGTCTCTGTGGATGATTTTAAGGGTACAGTTGCTTTTTACCAGAACCAGTAGTTTTTTACTCCTGGATTTTATACAAGTGTCTTGCATAATATTGGACAAAGCATTGGATGTCTCAATGACACTAGAATACTGGTGATTTGGTTCTCTCTCTGTGTGAGGCAGGGAGATTCAGTTTGATGTTTAGTACTCCAAGTCCTAATATTGCTGTTGTATCGTTCAAAGTCTAGATTCATTCTTATATGAAAAACTATTAAGTTCTTTCAGATATTCCTCCATCTTAAGTAGTATTTGATATTAAGTGTTTTTTTGAATTATGATGAGTAGATTGAACCGCATCAATTTTTTTTTAAGACTCTTCTTGTTTCCTTTTTTATCTCAACTTTTTCCCTCTCCCGAACGGAGCTGATGATGTATCTATTTGCAGAGGTGGAGGCACCAATAGCTATTTTAGGAGCTGAGATAGATCAGCTATCTCCTCCTGAGCTTGTTAAGCAGTTTGAGGAGATTTTATCATCAAAACCTGAGGTACGCGAACATTCCTATGTTTAAAAATGTCTTAATTTTAGAAAGACGACTTATCTGTGAAATAGTTCACTCCTGTTTATCGGGTGGATGTGTATTGAGATAAGTGGATACCTGCTTCAGTGAATTTCTTTGAGTGTGTTACAGAGTCTTGATTTATCCTTCCCTTTTCTTTTGTTGCCGTCTGTAAAAATAGGCGGACAGCTTTGTGAAAATATATCTTGGTGTTGCCCATGGGTGGACTGTGCGATACAACGTGGAGGACAAGAAGGCTGTGCAGAGTGCCCAAGAAGCTCATCAGGATATGTTGAACTTCTTTGTATGCTTTTAAGTAAAATGTATTTTAGTGGTAAACTTGTATCTTTAAATCCTGTTTTGCCACCATTACAATGGAGTTTTGAGATTCTTCCAGGAAATTAATAAATAAGTGTTTATAATAAAAATTTAAGCATAAATAATCAAGACTCATACGATCTTAACAACAAAAATCATCAACTTGGAATTTCAAACAAAGTAAAAAATGGGGACAACATTAAACATCAATCACAAGGAGGGGACACTGTGCAAAAAATTGGTGTTTCCCCCTTTATTTGGCCTTACGCGACATGAATTCAGATTTAATGGGCGTTATGTGGCGTGAATACATATTAATCAGGACCCTAATGTATATATCAAATACCAAATGAAAAACCAAAAAAGATGTGAAAGTTACACAAATCAGAAATCCATATTACTATGTAACAGTTGATGTGAGGCCAAAAATATATATTTTAATCAATTTTTGTCTCTCATTTATTATTTATATTTGCCCCTTTTGAGCATGGATTTTATGAATTATGCTAAATAGTGTATTTTAATTGTAGGAGTAAATTGGTGTAAAGTTGAAGAAGTTTGAAGCTAAAGCAAATTAAAGACGGAAGATTATAGAAGGAAATCAAGCAGCTTAATGGATTAAATTGAATTTTATATTTTATTTATATATATTCCATCGTGCAAAAGAATACAAAGAAAACATACGTGTGAGGCTGTGACACGTGGCAAAGAAGAACGCACTTCCTGGCGACAGCCACTGTTCACGCGGAATTCAATTCCGTTTGGGCTTTGGTTTCCCAATTTATTTTGAACTCAATTATTTTATTTAGAGTTTTCTACATTCTATGAATAGTCCATAGAAATAACTATTTGGAGATAAAAATATAGGGCATCAAAGTATAAAGTTGTCAATAGTTTTTAGGGTTCTTTTCTTCTTCTTATTTCCTAAGAGATTAGTGGCTAAACGCCCTTGTTCTGGGGCTATAGCTACGGATTGATTGTTGAATATTAAAGGTTTTTGAATTAATTATTGGTTATTGTTTAAGTTACTTTTATATTCTTGTTTTAGTATTTCTTGACTGGCCATCTAGAGATAAATATATTGTTTATTCTTAAAATCGAGAGAGGAGAGGGTAGATAGACTAGAGAATATAGAAAGCTCGATCTTCCATTGAGTTGATGTGTGTTCATGAGTGACTCCCGGACGAACAACTTGCTTGGTTACGAAACATGATGAAATATAAATGCTCGCCAATTAGGCCTGCTATCCCCGCTCAACGATGTAGTTAGACAGCTAATTGGAGTAGGCGACTAGAGGTCGAGAGACCTGACTCATACAATTAACCCTGTAAATCAGTAACTTGATAAACGAAATTAGTTCATTGCCTGAGATACGATACATGAAGTCCAACGCATGTTGCAGCTCTGGAATTTTTCAAATCACTATAAGTAATTTTATTATTTTATTCCTGCATTCTTTTTTTTGCCACTCTTAAATAAATAATTAGACCAGTATAATTTAGTAAAAATAGTTAATTGACAAGTCCTTTGGGTTTGATAATCTGGTTCTTTTAAGAGCCATTATATTACTTGCGCGACCATGTACACTTGTGTGTGCAATTGGAAGCAACAAGTTTTTGGCGCTGCTGCCAGGGACTTAGAAATTAACTATTCTTCTAGGTTATACTTTTTCTTTTTATTTATTTTTTTTGTTTTTTTTAAAAAAAAATTGTGTTTTTTTCTAAACAATTAATTTTTTTTTCTCTTTCTTTGAATAATTTGATACTCTTATTGATATGGGTGATTGAGATAAATCGTGGTTGGGTGATGAGTATTCCTATAAACATCCTTGTAATTATTGTAATGGACACAACTTGGATATCGAGTGTCCTATATGTCATATATGTGGTCGTCAATATATTCATTGGAATGGTTGTCCTAAATCTTATTCCCTTCCCCCGAACCCCTATTATGATTCTTCTGTTATTTGTGATGGGCGATGAAGTGGAGAGTACAAAACAAGAGGCGCGCCATGTGAATTCATTTATGGAATGTACGGACATGCTTGACAAAGTTAATTAAAAAATTACGGAACAAACATTTGAATGCGTGGAAGAGCACACAAATTTCATGAAATTACTTGATAAGGTTGACGATATTCAATTGGAAATTATAGTCCTAGCTAAATGAGAGGAAGAGATTGAGTCCCAACAAGGAGAAAGTTATGAAGAAACAAAGATAGTGAGCCAATCTTGGCTACAAGAACAAACTCAACGTCTAAAGTTTCAAGAGTCTATCCGTGATGGTCTGACATACATGACAATCCAACTAATTGAAGGAAGAGTTGAGCTCACACAAGAAATAAATCAATTTGGTTCAGATATTCATGACTTAGAGGCTCACTTGAACAAAAAGATTGAGGCGTCTAAAGCCCAATAACCAATTGTGGAGCAAAAAGAGGAATTCCAACCATTCAACTATACTTTATTCCTTAATATCGATGTTGAGAAAGAGGACAAAAGTGAGAATGTTGTAAATAATGCTGCTTTGGAGTTGAGGCAACTTGAATTTCACCCAAAATATTTTTCTATATCATCTGAACTAATGGATGAGTGTACAGATGAGGAACAAGTCCCCTACATCCTAAAGTTTTTTAGTCCACGTAGATAAAACGACATTCCTCACTTAAGGGACAAGAAGTGCAAGATGCAACATATATTACTTGGTTCATTTATTTTTATACCACCTCCCCTAGAGATCAGGAGAAAAATTGATGCAAAGTTAGGGGTACAATTCATAAGTTCAAAGTGGAAAGAAAAGTGGTGAACTTACTTGTGTCGTGCCGCGATGTTAAATTAGGCACTTCTTAATTGGGAGGCAACCCAATTTATAGTGTAACTTCTTATTTAATTTTTTTAATTTTTTTGTGTTGTTTTTACAGGTTTTGGAGAAATCTGAGTATCCGAAATTTGGAGCTGAGGAGCACGTTTGAGCTTAAGTGTGGGGTGACGACCCTTGATGAAAATTGAGAGAACATGCTACTAGCTAGGCCTAAAGGCCTCAGGGAGTTTTTCTAACCCTTGTTTTAAATTTTATTTGATGCTTTGGGGACATAACATCTTTGTAAGTGTGGGGTGGAGAAATAAATTCCTAGTTATTATTGTTTTATTGAGTCCTTTATTTTTTTAGGATGAGTTCCTTGGCTTTGATTTTCGGTTATTTTCCTATGGATAGTCCCTTTGAACTGAGTGTCTTTCTTTTTTTTTTAGGAATAAATTTTCTTTTAATTTTTTTGAGAGAAAAGAAAAGACCCTTTTGAGTGGTGTGATACTTGCTAATTAGGCCAAATTTTTTGAGTAGTACTTTCTTGTGAATGCTTGATTGATAAAAAAATTACAGACTCTTTGACATCTAAGCTCATGGTTGTGACTTTGTATATAGCTTATTTTATTTTGTAGTTTGTTATGATCCTGTCTCTCTTAGAAGCGGAATTGATCCATCTTGATTGATACTTGTGTCATGTGTGGTGAGATTTTGTTTATTCCATGTTTTGCATCTTAGTCTAGAACTTATCTTGCATGTTATTGAAGCGAAATAAAAAGTGTTGCTTTATTTAGGAGATGATAATAGGCTTTCTTTAATTTGTCTTGTAAATTTTAGCCTTTTCAGAGAAAATATCCCTAGTATAGCCCCATTGAGCCTTTTAGCCTTGATTTTGTTCTAACCTACTTAATTGAGCCGAATCCCTTTTATTGATACCGTTAGTTTTGATCCCAAACTAATCCTTAATGCACTATGTTGAGATGAAAAAGTGAAAAGAATGGTGAAAGTAGATAGGATGAAAATGTTTGGTTTTGTGGTAAAGAAAGAAAAGAGGTAGAAGAATGATGCCTCATAAGTTCCTAAATCTCTGATTGGCCTGGTCCCTAAGACATTGTGCACTTTGATTAAGGTTAAAAGCCTAAGTTGAAGGTGGCTAATTCGAAGAATACCTTAATAATGACCTTGGTCCTTACAAGGACAACATGCACCTTAACTAGTGAGAAATTCATAAGTTGAGGGTGGCTATTGTTAAGTGTGGAAAAAAAAGAAAGAGAAAAAGGGGTCTGTAGAAAATAAGGGCTCAAGTGAAAGAGAGGGCAAGACTTTAAGTACAACTGGAAAAATATGTAGAAAGGGGGACCAAAGGGAAAGAAAAAGTTGTGAATGCAGCAAGAAAATCAAAACATGTGCATTAGGGAGGATGAGTCACTAATTTTACCAAAATGTATCCTCCCTTACCTCAAGCCTACATTACAACCCGTTAAAGTCATATTTGATTCTATTCAAGCATGCTTAATTAGTGGAGATGTACATAATGGACAAGCCTATGGTTCTTTGTGCATACATGTGAATTTTATTTCTGAGTGCGAGTTGTTTATTTGATGTTAGGTCCTTAATTTATATTCAATATTTTGAATTGAGTGTGTGGACTATTTCTTTTTGTGAGGGCACTTGTTTCATGATAGATAGGTGATTTTATTAGCTTTCTTTGATGAGAGTAGGTGAGCAAACTTAAATTTGATGAGTTCAAAGTCCTTCCTTGAGGTTAGGAGGTTAGAAGTGTGTTGTTTATTTGGATGTCTTGCATAATGAGTGAGAAGTGTACTTGATGTTTTGAAATTGGTATATGGCCTAATTGTTTGTATTAATCAAAGTGATGACATTCCTAGTATGATTTTTTGAGATGAGATTTAATGTTTGCTCGAGGCTGAACAAAAGTTTAAGTGTGGGGTGTTGATGTGAGGCCAAAAATATATATTTTAATCATTATTTGCCTCTCATTTATTATTTATATTTGCCCTTTTTGAGCATGAATTTATGGATTATGCTAAATAGTGTATTTTATTTGTAGGAGTAAATTGGTGTAAAGTTGAAGAAGTTTGAAGCTAAAACGAATTAAAGATGGAAGATTATAAAAGAAAATTAAAGTAGACAGCTTAATGGATTAAATTGAATATTATAGCCTATTTATATATATTCCATCGTGCAAAAGAATACAA